GTTACAGCAATTTTAAAAAACAACAAAGTTGGAAGATTTACACTATCTGATTCCAAGATATCATATAGCTATAGTAATCAAGACAGTGTGGTTACTGACTAAATGACAGAAACGTATTATCACTGGAACAGAAGACAGGACCCCTAAAGAAACCTCCAGACAGAGAAGGTCAATTAATATTTGACAAAGGCACCAAGGTAATTCAAGGAGAACAGAAAATATCCTCAACAAATAGTTGCAGAATAATTAGATTTGATTATGAAAAGAAGAGACTATCAACCCTTACCTAATAGAATATGCATAAAATTAATTAATTAATCAACGATCCTAGACCTAAATTTAATACCCAAAAGTATAAAAGTTATAGAAGAAAACTAAGTAGATAAATACTTCCAAGATAGGACACAAAAAAGAACCTAAAAATTTCCCCTTTTTTAAAAAAAAAACGAAAGATAAAACACTTGATCTTGAAAGATACTACTGAGAAAGCCAAAAGGCAAGCCACATACTAGGGTAAATATTCACAATACAGGTATGTATATATGACCATTGTATCCAGAATATATAACCCAAAAAACCAAACCCACTGTTGTGGGTTTAATTCCAACACATAGCAGCCCTTTAAGAACAGAGTAGAATTGCTCCACAGAGTTTCCAAGACTGTACATCTTGATGGAAGTAGACTGTCAAATTTTTCTCCCGCACAGTGACTGGTGGATTTAAACTACCGTTTTTTGTTTGTTTTTAAAATTGTGATTTGGGTGAAAGTTTACTTAGCAAATTGGTTTTCCATTCAACAATTCATATACAATCTCTTTTGTGACATTTACTGCAATCCCCACACGGTAATAGCATCACCATCAACCTTTTGGTTAGCCAAAACTAACCACTGTGCTACCAGGCTCCTCAGAATGTATAAAGAACCCTTAGAATGCAACAGTAAGAAGACAAATGGGGTAAAGGTTTAGATAGGCACTTAATAAAATATGTAAGAATGGCCAGGAAGCACATGAAATCATGTTCAACATTATTAGTTATTGGGGAAATAAAATTAAAACCACAATAATACAGCTTTACATGTTACCAGAGTGATTAAAAGTGTAGGAACTAGTGCTCTCATACCCAGCTGGCAGGAACATAGAATGGCACAATTTTTATAAACAGCTTGAAAGTTTCTTATAAAGTTAAACATAAATCTAGATATGACTCGGATATTCTATCCCTAGGTATTTACCCAAGAAAAATAAAAATTATGTTTATAATAGCTTTATTCAAAAAGCCAACACTGGAAACGATCCAAACGGATAAACAAAATGTGATTATTTTCCGATCAATGCAATACAATAGAACACTACTGTCGTTAGCTGCCACTGGGTCAACTCCAAGTCATGATGACCTTATGTGTAACAGAACAAAACACTGCCTGGTCCTGTGCTATCTTCCAGCAATATATTGAACAATATTTTGTTGCGATCCATAAAGTTTGCATTAGTTAAGTTTTAGAAGTAGATCTTGAGGCCTTTTTTCTTATTGTTGTTGCCAGGTGCTGTCAAGTCAGTTCTGACTCACAGTGACCCCATGTACAACAGAATAAAAGACTCTCTGGTTCAATGCCATGCTCACAATCACTGCCATGTGTTAGCTCACTGTTATAACCACTGTGTCAATCCATCTCACTGAGAATGGGTCTTCCTCTTTTTGGCTGACTCCTGTACTTTGTGAAGTATGATAGCCTCCGGAGACTGGTCCCTCCTGATAACGTGTCCAAAGTACATGAGACAAAGTTTCATCATCTTCCCTTCCGAGAAGCATTCTGGGTGTACTTATTCCAAGACAGACTGTTTG